AAAGACAAATTTAAGATAGATCGTTTTAACCTAAAAGAAGGGCCTCAATATGTATTGATGGTGAAAGAATATGTTTGTAATAAATAAAACCATGATGAAAATGCTTATATTTAGTTTCAAACACACGTTTGATGCAATTTGCTATTATAGGCCTAATCAATAAATTCCTCATCAACCGATATAACCTTAAACATTCTTGGAATTACTGATTCCATTACTGATGTTGTACACACTCTTGAGTGTGAAATGTGGCTCTCTTTGCAAGCACATCTAACATCTAAGGAAAGAAGAGCTTAGATTGGTACCAGATAAAATAATTTTGTTATCAACATTAATACATTATGCTAATTTTCATAAGACAGTGCATAAGACAGTCCAAATTATTTCTTTTGAAGTGTGTAAAACTCCATTTTATCCCATACATAGTCAAAATATTGGGGGGGGGGGAATGATACAATGGACCATCCCCACCTTGTCAAATATTAGGGGATATATCCCCCATCCCCTGGGATCTACGCCTATGATTCTACGTCCCGTTCTTTATTAGAACATTTTCAAGAATAAATATAGTCTAAGAAGGTGACTTAAACTTAAAAAAACTATGTATATAAACATGTTATCGCTTATTTTAAAGATTCAAATATCATTTAAATATGTCAGTTTTTATATATATATATATTTTTAAAGTATAATCATCATTATCATTTTCATTGCCTCCATGATGTTGATCATCATTTCATCCTCCTAGTCCTCCCCCGCCATCATCACGTTCACCATCATGTTAATTATCGTCTTTATCGTCATCTTAATCATCCTCATCTTCATCATCATCATCATTATCATCTTCATCACTATTGTCATTGTCAGATAATTATCCTCAGGCTCGACATTATCATCATCATCATCCTCATTATCATCATTATCATCATCACCATTATCATCATCACCACCAACATCATAACTAATACTATTACATAATTTAGAAAGTATATCTAAGCTTTTAAAATAGAATACCTCAACTTCTTTTAACGCTATATTTAATTACTAAAATCACTATCTAGAATTGTTCTCCTTATTTTAGATGATGTTCAAACTATCAAAGCTTGTGAGGAAGGGGTATACCGGAACAACATGATATATAAAGAACCAGTGCATGTAATTATTGAATATCTTATTATTATTATTTTTTTTTTTTAACTTTTTCAATAAAGTTTTTAAAACAATTTAACTTTTCCAGGTTTTTCTTTTTGGCTTTTAATTTATATATCGGCTTATTATAATATATACATATATATTTATTATCATATATATATGTCATTGTTATACCTTAAAATATCATTATATGCACATATTATACAATGAAATATGTAGGCCTATGTATAATTATAAATTATCTTACTTTATATAACCTATAGGACTTTGTTTTTTTATATATTTATTTGTATATAGCCTTGTCTTTTTGTATTTAGATTAAATTAAATAAGATTGCAATGTAAATTAAGTAATAATAATTAATTAGTATCTTTAAATGGAATTTAATTAATATAATAATTTAGAAAAAAATTTCTGAATGAATAAGATCTTCTTTACGAATATAAAGAATAAATGTATGTATGTGATGAAAGATTTGAAATATGTCTACTCTTTGTTTTCAGTATCAACAAATGGAAGTATATCATCCAGAAATCGAACATCAAGAAAACATACACTCTCAAATTGTTAGCGACATAACAGTAGCACCTAACGGATGCCAATTCACTTCACCCCCGGCTCACTACGATCGGGCTCAGTACGACCGAGCCCAGGCTCGGTACGACCGAGCCCAGGCTCGGTACGACCGAGTCCAGGCTCAGTACGACCGGGCCCAGGCTCCGTACGACCAAGCCCAGACTCCTCCCTACGATCGAGCCCAGGCTCCGTACGACCGTCCTCAGGACTTTGGGCGCCCACTTCCAATGTGTCCGATTTACCCAATGGCTGCAACATATCCAGGCAGTATGGGTAGATGCCAGATGATGCCGTGTGATACTGACATGGTATCTAATGATCTCGATACACAGCCGAAGAAAAAACGAGGCCCAGGGAGACCAAAAATAAGCAGGCCACCCAAAACAAGTTAGTTTAAAAATATTTATTTAATAATGATAATATAAGGTCACTGTGCTATCACCTAAATAAGAAAATGAAATAAGTCTATATGAATCGAATCACTTAATTTGTGTATTTTAATAAATTCTTAATTTTCAACAAAAAAATCGAACAAGAACAAAATTAACAGACGGATTTTAGGAGTAAATATCTGTAAATCATTAAAAACTTGTTCGTTCAAACATTATCAGTTCCCAATGAGATGTAGGCCTACTAGATTGAAACAATCGGGTTTTGATGATTTTCAGATAATAAAAATTCGTACATTTTGAAATTATTCATTAACTCCCTATTTACAGGTCAAGGAGAATACAATAGAAACGGTGTTAGTAATCCAATATTTCTTTTTAATTTTCAATAAAAAGCTGAAATGTTTTTAGCTCAAACTTATGTAACCAAACATTAATATGTTTACTAATCATAACAAAAATTAATGCAGATGAGCTTCTTGAAGGGAATATTCAAACGCATGTTTAAAAAATTACCTCAATATAGCCTATAACACAATAATAATATATTATATAATGGTTACTCTTTATTGACAGAAAAATTACAATTGTTTGAGTTTCTGTTGGATTACCTTGAGGATCCATGCTCACCTCACCTGGAATGGATCGATAAATCATCTGGGCTGTTTCGATTCCAATCCGCACACAAAGAAGATTTCGCCAATAAATGGGGTGACTACAAAGGCAACCGGAATATGACGTATCAGAACTTAGCACGAGCCCTGCGTAATTATTGCCATAGCAACACCAAAATTATGGTAAATGAAAAGAAGAAGCTACACTATCGTTTCAATATTGATGCAATTATGGAGCATCCGACTAGGTTTAAGATTGTATTTGGCTCATATGTAAAACACACGAGGGAAAGTTAAAAGCTGTGATCAATGAAAATTTAGAGGTGGTGGGGGCGAAAGTTATAGGTGGGTGGGGGTGGGGTGGGGTTAGTGAGGCCTGTATGTCAGTTTGGTTTGTGCTGCTGTCACCAATGGCACGGCACGGTATGGTAAGTGCAAAACTTACCTCATCTATGCCTAGTGTCACCTTTTTTCTTTGTATTTTTATGAGTTTAATATTATTATTTTGTCTATAAAACAGCGGTCTGTATATTGTGATACAGTACTGTTTTATTAAGGCAATTCAAAAAAAATTGTTGAATTGCCTTGGTTTTGTCAAGACCGCTAATTACATTGTGATTTGCTACTATGGATAATACCGGTATAGTCTCAATGTTTGTTTAATACACTGTCACCATGACATTTTACTAATAAAAATCGAGTTGATCCTAGTGATTTTAACTATTATTTAATTAAATAAATAGGTGATTGATTGATTGATTAATTTAGTTATGATTGATTCATATTTGTTCTTTAACAAATTTCTTCATATCACTTAATAGAATGCAGTTTTCCAGTTAATTTCAGACAATGTTCAACTCTCGGAAATAGACATCTCTCTTTGCGAAACTTAGGCCTAATTATACAATAAGTCTTAAAATATGTGTATATTTGTAAATAAACAGATTTTTTATTGACGTTCAACTGTATTTCATTGCCTGTGTCACTTGTCGATGACGAAAAAGATAACGGTGAGGATGAGGAGGAGGACGATGATGATGAGGATTATATAATGAAGATGAGAAGGAAATGCTAAATGCGGATGATCATCATATGATGATGATGGTGATGGTGATGATGAAGAAGATGAAGATGATGGTGATGATGAGAAGAGGAGGAGGAGATGCTGATGCAAATGAAGATGACGATATGACGATCAACGACGACGATGATTATTATGCTAATTATGAAGGTAAGGATAATGATGATGAAGGTAATGATGATGATGGTGATGATGATGGAAATGGTGATGACCCAGCTCCTTACATTTACAAATCTGACTAATTTTTGACACGGGTGGCGCCAGGATTTGCCCGCCGGAGGGGGGGGGGGGA